AATCTTTTCAACACATGGTGCTGGGAAAACTGGATATCCTTATGCTAAAAAATGAGACTGTACCCTTGTCTTTACCAAAGTTAACTTGCAATGGATTAAAGACTTAGATGTATATGTGAAACTGTAGAACTTCTAGAGGAAAATGGCAAAGCTCCTTGAAGAGCCAGAGGTTTAGTTCAGTAGAGGGATGCTTGCTTAGTATGCGTGGGACCTGAATTTGTTCCCCCGCATTGGGGAACAAAAAGTAAAAACAAACAACATGAAGAGAGATGTATCTTGCCCCAGTCTGTAGAGTTTCAGTCCACAGTTGGCTGGGTCCAAGCAGAACACACTGGAGAAAGAGCCCAAGCAGTGAAAAGCTGCTCACTCATGGCATCCAGAAAGCTGAGGGCGTGAAGGGAGGAACCAGGAAGGGAGATAAACCCTTCTGGGTCAGACCCCCACTGATCTGCCTCTTCTAACCAGACCCCACCTCCTAACATCACATTTGGCCATAATGACTCCCCGTAATCCAATCACCTTTCCAAAGCCCTACCGTTGAACACATGAGGCTTTGGGGAGACATCCAGATTTAAACCATAACAATGAAGCATGACTGAAAAATATGGTATATATATATATGTATGTATTTTCTTAAATTTGTATGTCTTTTCCCTTCTCCTCCCCCCATCTCTTGGTCTTCTTTCCATTGTGAATATTTAAATTTAAAATTATCATTGTAGTAAAAGACACATTGCCATTAATCTCCCTCAAAATACACTCTCTCATTTTGAGCACACTTATTTCATTGTTCTTGCCACTTCTGAAAGGAGTTCTAGAAGCCCTCTTTTGTGTCTGTAGTTGTGCTATCATTGCTGCTTCAATGCACTGTACTGATTCAAAATATTTACCTTTCATGGTCATTTTGACTTTGGGGACAAGCCAGACCTGGTACAGTGCCAGATCCAGTCAATAAGGCAGATGAAGGCACATTATGTTTTTATGAACATGCTTTTCATTTGGATGGACAGCAGCAGCATTTACCATATTACTGATTATACCTTGTGAAGACATTCATGTATTTACCTTATATTTTGATCACACTGTCATACATAGGTATAACGGAATTTTATGCAAACATAAAAAAGGAAATTGTGACAAAACTTCTGGGCCTGGAGGATGCTATGCTAAGTGAAGTAAGTTAAATACAGAAAAACAACTACTTCAACATTTAAACTCAGAAAGAGAACACTGGTTGCCAGGGGCTGAGAGGTAAGGGAAATAGTGTGATGTTAATAAAAGGGTACAAACTTTTTTTCCTTTTTGCTGCTCGGGGATTAAACACTGGGCTGTGTGCATGCTAAGCACACATTCAACTAAGGGGCTATACCCGCTCCCCCAGCTTTGGGACCAAACTTTTAGTTATAATATGAGCAAGTTCTAGGTATCTAATGTACAGAATGGGTGGTGATTGATGTGCTAAAAAGAAAAAGAAAAAGAAACAAATTGGACTACTCGAATAATGCATAGCTTTGCCTGAAGAAGTCAGTATGTATTTCATGAAAATGGTATTTTGCTTTTGGCTGTCTTGGAAATTGTATAGGTGTTTTTCTGTCTGTGGTTTGGTTATAAATATTTCAGGAAAGTGGAATATGAAAAGCCTGGGAAACTAATTTGACATATTGTTACATTTTTGCCCCTATCAGCATTCAAGTCCCTGGACAGGAAGAACATTTCCTTCATCTTGGTTCCTTAGTAATACAGCTTAGTCCTGTCCCTGCACTCAGTTCCTTTATGTTTTATAAAGCTCACCGGGGAGTTGACTATGGATAGTATGGATGTAGCCTATTCTTCATTTCATAAGGATCTACCACAAACCTATGGTGTATCAGGCTTTACCGTAGTTATCAAAAATGATAACCACAGCCGGATGTGGTGACAATGTCTGTAATCCCAGCACTCAGTAGGCTGAGGCAGAAGGATCACAGTGAGTTTGAGGCCAGCCTAAACTATATAGTGACACCTTGTCTCCAAAATAAAAAAATGACTTTTGAAAACAGATTTAAATGACAAGTACAAGCTGACTTGAACAGAGTAAGCTTATAATAAAGGGAACATCAGTTCAATGCACAACATTATGATATAGTCAGAGAACAAGTTTCCTATGAAGGGTGGCAGCAAAAAATTGTAGAAGACATTGAGACGTGGTTGGGATCAGGCCTCAGACAGCATTTGTGTCATGAAATGTCTTAATTTCATCAAGTGAGGCAACTGTTAGTCACTGAAATTCTGAGAGACCAGAAACAGCAGGTTACAATCTATTAGCGGCTTGTATAATCAACGTAAATTGGGACCAGCATTTCAAGATGAACTAGAAGAGTAGAAAGTATTAGTGTGCTTATTTGTAAAGGTAAACAATGTTTTGTGAAGCATATATAATTGCTTCAATTACATATATGCAAATATTGCGATGCAAATACTTTTTGGTCTGAGTCATAGGAAGAATTTTTTTTGAGAAACACTGAAGGTTCAGTGGTACACCAGTTGATGTATCAGATTACTTTGGTAGCAATTAACGGAAACCACAGGCTCAAATGGCAAAATACACTAAGGAGTTTATTATTTCAATGTAAATGGGGTTCCTAAGTTTGGGAATTCTTTGTACTTTTAGTTTTTGACATTTCTCAGTGTTATTTTCAGCCTAATGCCAATTCCCCAGTGGCACTCAGAATAACATGTCAACATACTCTAACCCAGCAGAACAAAGTATAGATCCTGAACCCATCAAAAGCAAGGGGATGCAAGTAGTGACTGCTGTCAGTTAATCTGGGTGGATATTTGGAATCAATCCAATGTACGCACTGTAACGGAATGTGTTAATTTTAATGTATCATAGAAATACTTTAGAGGTATCTAGTTTGACAAGTAATGAACTTAGTGGTGGCAAATCTAATGCACGAGTGCCACAGCAGGCTGTTATCACTGAAAGTTCTAAAAGGCTCACCATCACTGAACTTAGGTGTAGGGATGATCAGATGAGCCACCCAAGTTTGTGTACATTATTACGCAGGTGAAGTGTGGAGGGCCGTGGGACAGTGCACTGCAAGACCCCAAGGTGGTAATGGAAAGTACAAACAGGAATCAGCCAAAATGACTTGTTTCTGAAGGCTAAAACTGGAGCAGATGCATGGTCACAGGGCAAGGTCCTAGAAATTTGGACTCTTTCAGATGTGAGGCACTAAGGATCAGCAGGGAATTAAGATAATGAGGTTTCTATCACCACACCTACAATGTGGAGGCAAGTTGGGGGGCTGTTCTGACCAGGACTTCATCCAGGGAGACAGGTGACAGTAATATGACCTAATTCTACTGAAGATAAATTAAATGATCTGTCTTTTGTTTTTCTAACTGTAGATATTGGGCTAGGGGGAGGAGGGCACTTTATCAAAACTTTAAAGAACTGGAATCCCAGATGAAGACTCTCTAAAGTTCCTGACAAGATTTGTTGTTTGGGGCCTCTGCTGGCTGTGGAATTTATTTAAGTGGTGCCTGGAAGGACTTGGTGTATTCCACCAACTGAGGTGAAATTAGAATTCTCAATACACTATTATTTCCCTTATTATCCTTGAGCCTTCAGCCAATGTTCCAGGCTTAACATCCTCTTATTCAGGCCAAAATATTAAAGGTGATGTAGTATCCCTTGAGGCCACAGTGGCAGTGGCCCAACTTTTTGATGATGGCAGGACCTGATTTATGGCAAATATTTGGTAAATATGGTATATCTAGCACCTAAACTTATGTGGGGACTGGCAGATCCTTAAAAAAGTACTTAGGTTAACCGCTGAGCACCCTAATGTGAAATATATTTTGTCTGGCTAAGAGGAAATGTTATGGCAGCCTAGCTGCAATGTATCTGTTCTCAAGATTTACAGATGTGGTTTCAATTTTAAGAGAAGTGCTTTCTTTAGGTGTCAGGGATGATTCCAAGATATCTAGCTGGAGTGAATATTCATGCTAAGATAGGAAGAGTCGTGAAACTTACCAGTGCAGAAGAAACATCTAGTGCAAATGTTTTTGAGTGTTTATGGTGCTCAATTTTTAATGGAAGGCTTTCACACTACTGTGAAGGATAAACTGAAATAGAGGAAGAGAGAGTAAGCCCTATAAGGTCTAGATGAGTCTCAGCCTAAGGCTGCTGTAGCAAAATAGCACTGTAATAGTTGAAGCTTGTATCTGTTAGACCAGTGACCCTGCACCCTTACTAAGGTACAGCCTTAGATAAAAATCTCTTCTTCCCACTGTATTGGGAATATGGTAACTATTAGGCTGCCGATACCAAGTGTTCAGGCCAAGGGTGATAATTTAAGGTCTTCTAGTGAATACCACTCTAATCTGAAGTCTTGAGCCTAAGGGAGTGGGAGCCTGGCTGGACTAAGCCTTGCTTCATTCACTATAATTAGTGGATAAAAAAGAGCAGCTGGTGTCTCACATTCCCGGCCATTCTGAAACCGGATTTCCCTTTTCTAAGTTCCCACAGAGGCCCAATTTTGACAACAATAAAACTTCCAGGAAATCCCCAGCAAGTGGAACTTTCTAATGTTCCTCTCACTACAACACTCTCCATACCAAGAGGAAGGAGCTTATCCTGAAGGTCAATATCCTCTGTCAGGTATCTTCACTTTTTCAGTCAGGGTGCTAATATATAAAAATTCTTAGGTCCTCCTCTAAAACCTGCTCAGAGGTTGAGAGCACAAGTAATTCAGCCTGCAAACAGAGGAATGGTTGCAGTGTCCCCTGAAGGTGCCTTGAATATTGGATAACTTAAACAAGTTTTACTGACAGATGTTCACCCCCTCTCCAACAGGAAATAATCTTTTTCTAAGAAATCATAGGGGCTCAGTCCTATGCTGGAGGTCAAAATACAATCACATCACGGACTAAGTTTGGGGTACAGGACATATGTCCCATCTAAGTTAGTACAAAGAAAAACACAAGTGCACTAACTAAACACAACTCAAAACTAAGAACCAGAAACATAAACCATGAATTTACTATCTTAGGTAGACTCAGGATTTACATGGTTCTCATTTTTGCAGAAACTCTAAGGGAATTAAAAAAAAAAATCATTTTGCATATATTCACAGTAAGGAATTTTATCTTTTGGGCAAAGAGCGGTCCATCTGGGTACCCAGAAGGTTCTGGGCCTCATTAAGGCTGTCCATTTTACACCTTTAGCTCCAGTTCTTCTTAGACACGAAAAGAACTCCAAAGGCCAGTTATCACAGCCACAGACTCCAGTTCCAGTAGTTAAATCCTTCGTGTCTGATCTATATGGGAACTGTAGACACTTCCTTCTTGGTTCTTTTGGAGGTCCTGCCGAAGCCCCTGCAGCAGCTGGTTTAGAAGTGTAAGGTTGCTGTCTCTTTGAGGTAGAGGAAGGGGTGGCAGGCAATTCCCTTTATATTCAATCACTGCCATCTTTGCCCGATCCATCTTGTTCCGATTTGGGATCTGCACCATCCTTGTGTAGCCCCCATTCTGACCTTGGTACCGAGGGGCTAGTACTTTAAACAGCTTTGGGATCAAGTCTTTCTCCTATAGGGCAAGAATTATTTAGCAGACAACAAAGTCAGGAACAATTTCAGAAGCATTTAACTTTCACCACTCACAAAGGTAGGGTCCAAACCCACCTAGGTCTCCCCTACTCTCTAATATGGTACAAAGATACAAAGAAGGATCACTTATAGGGAGATGTGCAGACTCATATGCACATTGAGTTCAACTATAAAACATGATTATTTAATTCACAACACTAGTCCACAAGTGAGAGCCCTAGCTTAAACCTCACAGGGAGCAGAGGGCCCGCTTTGGGAGGCGGGCTATGGGCACTCACTGTAAGCCAGAAGTCAGCCATGCGCATGGCTCGTTCGTTGGTGTCTCCCATTTTTCCATAGTCGATGAGCTGTGAGTATAAAACAAAGGGATGGGATCCAACTGTCATAGGCAGCTGAGCTAGATAGAAATTTTATAGGCAGTCAGACAGGGCCAGGCCCTGGAAGAAGCCAGTATGGAAGACAAGATACCTTACAAACGGAGAAGTGGTACTTGCTTTGGGCCAGATCTCAAGACTAAAGATTAAACAAACACACCCACTTACCTCCCAAGGGATGGACCTCAGGGATTGATATTCTCAATAGGTAGCGATCACCCTGAAGAGTCCTGACCCAACCCCTTACAGGAAAAGCCCGTTTTGTATTCACGCCTACTTGCTATGTGACTCGCTTCCCCATTTGATCCCAATTTAATCAATTTTATCTGAACAATTCTTATTGGCTGACCATAATCCTGTCCATTTTTCCCTTACCTTGGACCCGCCTCACCTAGTCGTTTTGCTCTATAAAAGTCCCTAGAAAAGATAGAGTCTTGGGTAACCCACTAGGGCCCCCGCCTTCTGTCCCTCTCTTGGACAGAAGCTTTCTTTACTTTCCCTCAATAAATATATTCTGCTCTTAACCTCCGTTGCTCCTAAAATTCATTCTTCGATTTTAGAGAACACGAACTCGTCCCCAGATATCATCCAGGTTGGGAGTTATTTTCCTGTATCGCAACCAGAGAAAAAAACGGGGTGTAGGTCTTATTTTCTACAGCCGGACCTCCATCACTTCATTCCACTTAACGAACCCGGCGTCAGCTCTAACCAGCCTTTCCCATGAGCGCAGGAGGAGGGACTCAGCTTAAGCGCACAGCGCGGTGTCACCGCGTCCCCAAAGGCAGCCCGCCCCGCCCCCAACGAGGCCCCGCAGCGCCTCACCTTCTCCGCGTAGCCCTGCATCTCGTCCACACGCGCCCATGTCGCCTCGATGCGTTCGTGTCGCACCAGTCCGGTGAGCAAGTTTCGCAACAGGTGGATGCGGGACTCGGGACCGAGGCCCAGACGGCGGAAGACGCGGCCGTGGGAGATGGCGGACGCCACAGACAGCCGCATGTTCCCGGCGTCCTCCGGCCCCGGGCAGGCCGGAAGTGGAAATTCTCCCGGCAGGGCGGGGCGGAGGCGACTCACGAAGCGCATGCGCCGTAGTTCGGCGCGTGGTGGACGTGTTTGCGCATGAGTACCAGAGCCTGCCTTGTTGGCAGTCTGCGGAGGGCGGAGCAGGGGTGTTGACCTTTTCCAGAGGCGGCGAGCTGGGAGGTTGTGAAGCGCTGCGTGCGCCGCACTGCGGGCCAGGGAAGTTGGCGCCCTCTAGCGTGGCGTCCGGGCTCCGCGGGTTTGTCCTGTGCTGCGTCCGCGGGCCTGTAGCCTCTAGGGCTGAGGGGCGCTCGCCGCGGAGCTTGCCGGGAAAGTGAGTCTGCGAGCAAAGTGGGGCCCGAGGGGTTGGAGCCGCAGAGCAGGGGCCTGCGTGGTGTGTGGGACTTTCTGGGAGCGGCGTTTAACAAGTTTTTAGTGGTAATAGTGAAATAAATAATAATGCCCAGAACAGAAGCGCAGGTAATAAACCTTTCTTTTGTTTTGTTTTTGAGACAGGGTCTCGCTTCGTAGTTGAGGCCGGCCTTAAAGTCACTATGTAGCCGGCCTGGCCTCGAACTTGTGCCAATCCTCCTGAGTCAGCCTCCCGAGGGCTAGGATTACAGGGGTGCAGCACTACACCCAGATCAACGTTTTGTTTAAATTTTCTTTTTTTGAGACAAGGTTTCCCTGTGTAGCCTAGGCTGGCCTCAAACTTGTGGGGATTCTCCTGCCTCAGCCTACAGAATGCTGGGATTACAGGTACAAGGCACCATGCCTGGCAAGTTATATAAAGGTATTTCTTGAAAAACGGGAAAACATACCCATCTATTTTTATGCTAAGTAATGATCAGTATCATCGCTTTAGAGCCTTAACACTGTACATTTAACTGGCACTGTAAAATGGAACTTTATATTTTTTTGTCTTTTTGAGACAGAGTCTTGCTGTGCGGTTCAGGCTGGCCTACAGCTCACTTTGTCTGGCCTCAAACTTGCAGCGGTCCTCCTGCCTCAGCCTGCCGAGGGCTGGGATTACAGATGTGCACCACTATGCCTGGCTGTAAAATGGAACTTTAAAAGTTAGATTCTGTGTTTTTCTTTGAGAGACAGTGGCTTCTCTAAACTTTCTCAGTTATTCTCATAATTGCTCTTTGTTACAGATTGAATTGTTTGCCCCATTCCTGAAGATATGTTAAGTCCTAACCTGCTATGACTTCAGAATGTGGCCTTAGAAAACGGGCAAGGGACCTTGGAAATAGGTCATGGCAGATAAAATTAGTCAAGATGAGTTTATACTGAAATAAAGTGGGCATCTAATTCAAAATGATGAATACCATTCTAAAAAGATGGCAGGTGAAGACACAAAGGTGAACACACAGATTGAAGATAACCAGGTAAGACAGTCATAGAAGGTGAATACTTTGTGACCACTAAAGCAGAATTGCTATTAAGCAGTTGAAAGTCCATGAAGGAACACCAAGGATCACTGGGACACACTTGAAGCTAAAATTGTTCCCCAGATCCTTTAGAGAGCATGGCCCTGTTTCCACTTTTTTTTTAGACAGGGTCTTACTGTATATGTAGTTCAGGCTGTCCTTAAACTCACTATGTCGTTGAACTTGAGGCAATCCTCCTGCCTCAGCCTCCTGAGTGCTGGGATTACAGGCTTGCGCCACCACAACCAGCTTCCACCTTGTTTTCTCCTAACCTCCAGAGTGATATGACAATGCATTTCTGTTATTTTAAGCCTCGTTTTGTGATATTTTGTCATGGCTGCCTTACATGTCCACATGCAGTAGACTGTCACTCTGTCTTTACTTACAAGTGAGCAAAGAATCAAAAAAGTTTCTTTCGAATGAAGCAATAGTTATACAGATAGGAAAATTTACATATATTTGTATATGTCGGTGGAAATTTATACAAATCACAAAAGCTAAATTTCACAATTTAGAATACCACTCTTTCTTTGGGAATAATTCTTGCAGCTTTCAGTTATGTCTTTAACTGGCACTGTAAAAATGAAACTTTAAAGTTACATTTTTTTTTTCTTTTAGACACTGGCTTCTCCAAACTCTCTCAGGCCTAGAATACAAATGGCTATCCCTACTTCTTCTCAGTCCAGGTGAATATGCAGGTGCTGGCATCAGGAAGTCAAGCCCAGTTTCATTTCCTTAGGCTGGTAGGGAGAGGTCCAGGTCCAGGAAGGAGTGGTTCAGCCAGAATATGTGTGTTGCTACATTATATTCTCTTTCCCACTGTTCCTTGCTGTAAGAGACTCCAGCACACTTGTCCCAGGTGAAGCAAATGGCCCCCTCATCTCCTAAGAGCTAGCTTTGAATTAATCCCTTTTTCTTTTTACCAAAATAAATGACTTCTTTTGATCTGGTCAGTGGCAAACAAGTGAGCCTGAACACATGAATCTCAGTGGCCACAACTGAAAGTTTTTGTTAAGATTTTTCACCAAAAAACAATTCATACTTTTTTGTTGGTAAAAACTTACGAAGGTTTTTCTTTGTAAAATAAACATTGAGTTTGAGCCAGTGTTTAAAAAATAAGTGTCCTTTTGGTGAAAACAATTGAAATGTCAAGCACTATCCTTCTGAACTTTTCTGGAAATGAAAACCATGATCTCTTGTCTCTTCTGATAGTCTTCAAAATTTGATTCATTTTTCTCATTGTTTTCCTTATATTTTGTTACTGCAGTTCCTGGCTTTCTCCACAGTTTCTAGGGGCTGATACTCAAAGGACAGTTTTAAACTTTGATTTTTTTGTGTGTGTTGTTCAGCCTCAATCTGGCTGTTTGCAGATATTGTGTCTGATTATCATTATTCTTATTTTTTTATTTTTTTGAAACAAGGTCTTGCTATGTAGTTCAGCCTGTAAGGCTTGATTTGGACATGACTCTCCCAATACCCAACCTGTCTGCAGCAGAGGGTTGTTCTCAGCTCAACATCAATGCCCTCAGCAAACACAGGATAGTTTAAAAGAGGTAAGATGGAACACAGAATCTTGCAAGCACCTGGACATCTAAAGATACCCAAGCATTCACACTGACCGCCTCAAGGACTTTGCCCTTGAGGCACAAAACATCTAGAGACCTTTGACCACTGAGATTTACTAAGATCTTCCCACATGATGTCTTTTGCCTTCTTTCAAACCCTATAAAAAAGCTCACTTTCCTCTGTTCCCTATAGATGGCCTTTTCGCCCTCTGTCTGGCCGCAGCCACACGCAATAAATTCCATACCATGTTGCTTTTCCACAAGCCCAGGGGTCTTGGCTGGTGGTCTCTGCCTTGCACCACTCCTTAAAGAGCCTGAACTTGAACTCACTGTGTAGCCTAGGCTGGCCTCAAACTTATGGCAATCCTCCGGCCTCAGCCTCCCAAGTGCTACAGTTATAGGCATGTGCCACTACACCTAGCCTGTGTCTGATTTTTTTTGCTTTTGGTACTGGGAATTGAACTCAGGACCTTGTGCTTGCCAGGCAGGTGCTATGCCAGAGTTAATATTCCCAGCTCCTGTGGCTGATTATTTAAAAAAAAACAAAAAACCACCAAAACCTCAGGAAAGAAAAGAAAAAAAACAGCAAAACCTCAGGAAAAAAAAATTCTGTACAGCTAAGATTATAACCAAGCTTACAGGCGGGGATATATTATATTCCAAGGGTTTGGAGTCATGAAATACACATGAAGTAAGCTTGAAAGATGACCAACTCTTACGAATTTACTGTTAAAGGTAATATGGCAGAGTTTGTGTAAATGGTAGTTCTTTGAAATAACATCTATGCAGAATGAAGTATTGTTAGTAGATAATTTCAAGCCTATATACATACTATTATAATTCAGTAATGATAGCAGTAATTTAGACCTGAAAGATTTTTTTGCTCAGGTCCTTGTGTCACTAACATTGTCTAGAATTATTGTTGTATGTATGATAATAAAAATGAATTGACCTTTAGTTTTGTTACTACTTTGAAATTCTTGTTTTAATTTAATTTAAAATTCTTGCCAGGTGTGGTGGTGCACACCTGTAATCCCAGCCCTCGGGAGGCTGAGGTAGGAGGATTGCTGCAAGTTCGAGGCCAGCCTGGGCTACATAGTGAGTTCAGGGGCAGCCTGAACTATACAGTGAGACCCTGTCTCAAACACCAAACAAATAAACAAACAAAAAAATTCTTTATAGATAATTTGCCTGCATGTTTTTGTTCCCAGGGAAGACTGTTCTTACCTGTGAACCCTTGTTACCTAATGGCTCTAGGTGTGAACTGAGTCCCCAGTACTGAAGAGTGGATCTGAGTATTCCTGGTTTTTTTGTTTTTTGTTTTTTGTTTTTTCTCTGGTACTGGGAACCGAACTCACAACCTTGCGCTTGCCAGGCAGGCACTTTGCCGCTGAGCTAAATCCCCAGCCCAGTATTCCTGGTTGATCCCGGACTTGCAGTAACACATGAGAGTCCAGGTTGAGCCCCTAAGGAAGTGCTGGTAGATACTAGTCAGTCTGAGAAGGGTGAGGAAAGTGACTCCAAGCAGTATTTTGGGAGGTAGCTGAAGAAGAAATATCCCAGCCTTTAGAATTTTTTCCGTCCATGGCTGCTGTAGGGAGAAGGGGATTGGATCTGCTCAAACCACTGCACAGACCCTCTAACTGGCTGCATTCTAGTCTATGCAAACCTCTGTGATGCGGTATGACTAGATGGGGGTCCTGTAGGACTTCTTTCCAGGTCTTTGGTGTCCTGAGCAAAGAATTGGACAAGACGCAGAGAAGGTAGTGAAGGTGTACTTTTATTAAAGCAGATGTACACTGTGCAGGGTGAGAGCAGTCCTGTGCTGGTGAAAAGGCTCATAGCAGCCCAGAGGTTAAAGTGAATAGGGTGTTTAGTATCCAGAATACCGTGATTGAGCTCCACCTCTTGCAGATAAGGCAGCTGTTTTAGCAGAAACTCACCTGGCCCCATGCCAGATGTAAACTGTCGTACCCAAAGTCTCTCTTTGGTCTCTTAGTAGATTTAAATGAAGAATAAGAAACAGTG